CACGCTTTTGAGAGCCGCTGCAAAGAACCATGATCGCGTGACTATTCTTTCCGATCCAAATGATTATTCAACATTTTTATCCGAATTAAAAAAGGATGGTTGTATATCCGAAAATTCGCGTAAATTATTTGCGTTAAAGGTTAATAACTTAATTTTAAATCAATCATTTTATGATAATTGATCAATACTTTAATGTATTCAGTCAATTCCAGGCTTTCAATCACACTGCAGATTACGATGAAGCAATTTCAAATTATTTTAGACAACAATATTCTAAAGATATTTCTCAACTTACTTTACGTTACGGTGCCAATCCACATCAAAAGCCTGCCCAAATTTTCGTAAAAGATGGCTGTCTTCCTATACAGGGTATTTATATTTCCACTACATTACCATATATAGCAATATGAAGTTAATTTTTAATTTTTAATTTTTTTTTCGTTTCTATATAGTTTTATCCGGTGCACCAGGCTATATTAATCTTCTCGATGCGTTAAATGGCTGGCCATTAGTAAAGGTATTGTATACGCGACTTTAGTCATGAATGCATTATTACTATTGATTTATTTATTGTCGAGAGATTTATGGAATAATTATTTGCTAGGAACTTAAAGCTGCACTCAATCTTCCAGCTGCTGCTTCTTTTAAACACGTGTCTCCTGCTGGAGCTGCCGTTGGTCTTCCATTGGATGAGACTGAAAAAAAGGTGTATTTTGTGGATGATTTAAAAGAATTATCTCCTTTAGCTAATGCATATGCTCGTGCTCGAGGTAAATTTATTTTAAATTTTACGTGACTTTTATTAGGAACAAATCTGACTTTACTATATGTCCTTTATTATCTGTCATTAGGGGCAGATAGAATGTCTTCCTTTGGTGATTGGATTGCTTTGAGTGACATAGTCGATGTCCCTACTGCTAAAATTATTTCGCGTGAGGTATTTCACAATTCATAAGTATATACATTACGTTACATCATTATTGATGTCTATTTCATAACATTGCTTAGGTATCCGATGGTGTTATCGCCCCTGGTTATGATGCTCAAGCACTTGAAATTTTGCGTAAGAAGAAGGAGGGAAAATATACTGTAATTCAGGTTAGGATACATTAAACTGAATAATTAAAGCCAGCATTATTATTATTTACTTTGTTAATACATAATTATGCTTTACCGGTATACATAATTATACTTATAGATTGATCCCAATTATGAACCTCCGGAAGTGGAAACTCGCCAGGTTTACGGATTATATCTTCAACAAAAACGTAATAACGTTCAAATTGACCAGAAATTATTTGAAAATATTGTAACACGGAATAAGAATGTAAGTTAATATATTAATACTAAGTGAATTTGTAGTAAAAAAAACGTAAACATAATTTTTTTTTTTTCACAGCTCCCGAATTCAGCGGTCACCGATCTTATTGTTGCCACAATTGCACTTAAATATACACAATCTAATTCTGTATGTTACGCTAAAAATGGTATGGTGATTGGACTTGGTGCTGGACAACAGTCACGCATTCACTGTACGCGACTAGCTGGTGAAAAAGCCGACAATTGGTGGCTTCGTCACCATCCTAAAGTGATTGCTTTCGATTTTAAAAAATCAACAAAACGAGCTGAAAAAAGTAATGCAATTGATCTGTACATATTGGATAAGATTGGAGAGGTTCTTTTTCTTTTTTTTTTTTTTTTTATGCCAATAAACCATTTATTTTTATTTATAGTTAAATTCTAAATGAATTAACTGAAATTCCTATGCTTTCAGGGTTTAGAACGTACTTCTTGGGAATCACA